TTCAAAAAGAACACAAAGAATGGCCTTCTCAGCTGCCATAGTTGCAACTCTTGCGTCATCAGAACAGGGTGTTCAACCAGTGTTGCCAACTAATTTTCAGGGGAAGTTGCTAAAGGAAGGTCGATTTGTTGCTAAAAGTTGCTAAATGACGTTGTGATGTCATTGCGTGATGACGTCATCACGTAATCACGACGCAAAATTGTCACTACATTAAACTTTTTTTTTTTATCGCGCTCAGGTTTCCAGGTAACGGAGCGGGAAAGTGAGTGGTAGAACAGGGAGAGTTCGGCTGTGCCTTATATAGTTTAGAGAGGAAACGAGTGGATTATATCTTCAAAGTATACATTGATTGTGTATATGTGTGCGTGCATCACGATGTAAGTACCCGAATATGTATACGAGTAACTGTTTAACTGTCGTGTTCGGTGTTATACATGCAGATGGTTACACTTAATGACGTTATGCGACTGCGTTATCGCCAGTCGCCTGTTTTTTGAGCCATTTAATATTAATGTTACATGCATATGTGTATATATTTATCTAACAGCAAAATCACTCGGTTATATTATAACAGCGCGCAGGCGCTCTGAGTGGTCTAATTCATCAGCACCACCGCAGGTGCAGCAGCAGCCGCGTGCACATGAACAATACATGCACATCAGCGCACTTTCTATATGCTTTGTGTTTGAGTTAATTTATATAGTAATTTAGGCCGTTTGAAGTCAAGCTGCAGTGCAGTGTTACAGTGTAATAGTTTCCATTAGTTATTCATTTATTTACTAGTTGATACATGTCAATTGTGGTGATATTTGTATACACTCATGTTTGTATTTGTTTATTTTGTTACAGAACCACACAATATTTATGCATGATCAATAAATAAGATTTGGAGTAGTTACTGGACTGAGATATTGTTGTCCTGACCCGCAACTCGTAGCTGTCAGCTTATCCGAACCAGTCAGAACAAGAGAAATTTACATGGTACTTCGAGCCGGATGCTGATCTGCTATGGAGATGTCCCAGCCAGAGAAAGAACAGCCTGTTGTGCGTCCACGACGATGCGTTCAGGCCCCAGCTCATTTAGCAGATTATGAGCTTGGTGAACCACTAGCACATCGACAGCCACTCCCAGCCTTCAGTCAAAGTCGAGTACAGTCTCCAAGTTCTGCAAGACCTACCCGATCGACTTCTCCTGTCAGCCAAGTGTCAGAGCAGGAGAAATGGATTTTAAGAGACGCATGGATGAGGCAAAGAGGAAGTAGAGCTCAAATCTATGCTGCATGCAGTGCAACAAGAGAATATAGATTTGCAGCAACAAACCAGTCAGCTCCCAGAGATCATCTCAACCTTAAAGGAGATGCGCTGGCAGAACGCCATGTTACACCATGAGCTACAAAGCCTTAAAGCAGAACGGGGAGCTCCATCTAAGCCAGCAACTTCACCAGTGCCGTCCTCAGATCCCTTTATTCCAGTGGTGAGCCCAGCAGTTTCACAACCATACCGCCCAACGCCAGCCCCCCGGATTAGGGTGCCACCACCTGCTTCCACGAGAGAACTGCAGCCAGCTGTGATTGATGAGAGCCCTGAGTTAACTGAAAACTTCAGGAGTATGGACATTGCGTCCTTAATTCATGAGAGAGTACCGTCACAAGCACATCACAGCAAACAGTTTCACTCCAGAGATCCTCCATTCTCTCAGTGCCTTCCATCTTATCAGTTTGAGACTTCAGCACACGAGTGGATGCCACCTGCTCGCCCTGATCGCAGACAAGTGTATGACCAGCCTTCACTCTCTCAGGAGAAAACATACAGAGGGACCACTCCAACCATTCCCTTTTTAACATCTCCTGATCCTAGAGAATTCTCAAGATTGAGGATAGCTTTAGAGAATATTCTGCCTGAGGATGCAACAGAGCACTTTAAATATCAGATACTTACTGACCACCTAAAGCTGGAGGAAGCACTTCTTGTGTCAGACTCGTACAGTAATTCAAGGCTTCCATTTACTTACACCATGAGAGCACTTACCAAGATGTATGACCAACCCCACCAGTTAGCCTTACAACGCATAGCAGATCTGATGGATGGACCAAACATTCGTAGTGGAGATGTGAAAGCTTTTCGCTTGTTTGGGCTCCATGTACACTCCTTGGTCAGTATGTTGGAACAGCTAGGCCAGAAAGGGAACAACCGAGCTGGAGTGTGGGTCACATGTTTCCAGACTTATGAGCAAATTGCCACATGACCTCAGATCCAGTTTTAAGAGGTACACACACCCTCTTGGCGTTACCATTCCTACATTACTGGACTTTGCAGAATGGCTTGAATATGAGCTCCAGGTTCAGGGAGACCACACAGATTACACTCCTCAATCCAAACAAGTGTCATCAATGCAGAGAAAGGAAATAAGGAGAGACTCCCAGCAAACTCGCAAACCCACTGCCATTCTCCTTGGAACAGAGAAATCAAAGGCCACTTCAGTACTACCAGCTGATCAACAGAAACCAGTCACTGCTAAGGGAGAAAGGGTGAATGCTTACTGTCCATATTGTGACAGCAACAGACATTTCCTGAACCATTGTGAGAACTTTAAGCTACTCACCAAAGAACAGATGGTAACTTGGATTAAAAGCCAAAATAGATGCTGGCGCTGTGGACGTGGTCATCAGGCTGCCCACTGCACTCTGAAAGCCCTCTGTCAAACCTGTAACAGGAAGCACCTGGTGGCACTACATGAGGTGAATGATCAAAGCAGAACAACGGAAGAATCTGTTCCAGCCAGTGCGGTACTATATGTTGATCGTCCCACTTGTGACCGTAAGATCCTGTTAAAAGTGACCAAAGTTCTACTCAGAAATGGCAACAAAGCTATGGAGGCATATGCTGTGCTTGATGATGGGTCAGAGCGGACCATTATTCTTCATGATGCAGTTCAGAAGCTGAAACTAAAGGGCAGCCAGAGGAGATAGCGCTTCGCACGGTCAGGCAAGAGACGCAGACCATTCACGGGGCAGCCGTGACCTTCACAGTGTCTTCAATGGATAACCCTCGTAAGGTGTTCAAGATACGGAGTGCATTCACAGCTAACAGCCTGGGTTTAGCAGAGCACACGCACCCAGTCCAGGTACTCCAGAAAAGGTACAAGCACCTCGCGGGCCTGCCACTTCAGAACCTTCACAAGGTGAAACCCGTGATTCTTATTGGCTCTGACTGCCCTCACCTCATAACACCCATCGAACCTGTCCGACTAGGCCCACCTGGGGGCCCTGCTGCTGTGAGAACCCGCCTAGGATGGACATTACAGGGTCCAGCACAAGAAATAACCACCAGACTTTCCCCTCAGCAGTGTCTCTTCACCAGTCTGCGACCCATTGACAACCTGTACGCTGATGTGGAGAAACTATGGAAAATGGACATTCTCCCATATCAGAATGAGAAAGTGCTGACAAGGTCACGACAAGACCAGGAGTCCATCCAGCTTCTCCACGCGAAAACAGTGAGAATAGGAGTTAATGGAGTCCAGCGTTATGCAACTCCCCTACTGCGGGCTAAGGATATGCCATGCCTTCATGCACCCAAAGTAGCTGTGTTGCCACAGTTAAGGGGAATTGAAAATCGTCTGGAAAGGAAACCTGATCAAGCAGCAGCATACCAGGAAGAGATAAACAGGTTACAGCAAGCTGGCTACATCACAAAGGGTAGATCTATTCGTGACATAGGACGAGAAAGCAGATGGTACAACGGGCCAAAATTTCTCAGCCAAACCCCTGATAGATGGCCAGAGATGCAGCCACTAACAACCACTAACCATGACAATGAAC